ACGTACATGCGCGCATGGCACTGACAAAAAAACCCCAAACCCTAAACCCTAAACCCTGAGCTTCTCGGCACTGCGTCGTCCCGAGCCCCCAGAGTTGAAGTATGCGAGACCCTCAACCCTGGCCCCCAGCCCCAAATCCTGAAGCGATAAACCGCAAACCTTCAAAACTTCATGGTATAAAACCCCGAGGCCCTGAACGTCGCATGCCTTAATGGCTGTGCGCCAGGCCGCCATTGAAAGTATCAAGGCGATCTTGAAAGACATGCAGGAGCCAGGTTTACGGTTTTTGGGGTTCAGTGTTTTCAGGGTTTAGGCTTTGGGGCAGACCCGATCTTTTCGGAACCCGTGTTGACCTCCACTGGATGCCTCAGAAAGCCTGTCGAAGTCTCTAGTGGTTCTGTTGAGGTTTATTCGGCTGTGTGTAGTGTTGCCCTCCAAAGCCAGACTCTACGATTTCGGGGTTGCGACTGTTGAGGTTTATGCAAGATGCACAGAGCGATGGCAGTATTTTCTACCTCCTTCAACTTGTCACCTTGCACCAGGTCTGACCAAGGCGGACAGAGGGTAAGCATGCTATCGGTGTCTAGGGTTGCTGCTTTTTGTCCTGATTGTGTATGCTGCTATGACCCTCGTGGTGTTCCAGTAGCTAGCAACTAATGAGTATCGACAGATAGTCAGAAAGACCGTAGGTCCAAGATAGCAGTGACTGAACGCTAGGCCGTCAGGCACTAAACCTTCCAATTCTTGGGGCCTCTGGGTGATCCTAGAGCTCGATGACGAGGACGCGGTGACCAACGGAAACACTGCCGCCCAGAAGGACACTAAATGGTTTCGAGTCGATTTCTGAAGTATGAGTATAAGCATACGACAAAGTATACATAGACAAAACGGTGCTGCATCCAATATCCTCACAGTGAGAGACTTAGAGGCTTTGGGTTGGGGAAGCCGGCTTAAAGGTTTTGACATATGTTTTCAAGTGTACCGGGTTGAAGGGTTTTGAGTTGAAGGTTTTGGAGATGAAGGGTCAGAAAGCGGGATTTGTCGTATGCTTCTAGTTTTGGTGGTGCCTGCACAGGAAATCTTGAAGAAGCAAGCCGCAGTCCTCAGCTGTGGTGCACCCAACGTGACGTGCGCTCCTCGGGTGAGCCCTTAGTTGTTCATAAGTGGACAAGCCAACCTGAACGTATTTAACATGGACATGCGTAACCACATATATAGCTAAATGAACACTGCGAGCATACAATCACATGTACACACACTCAGACAGGCAGGCATACATTCTCACAGATGTAGGCTCGTTGCTGGGCATTCAAACCTACTCCTGTGCAGGCAAAAAGTCACATGGGAGGCATGGCCGTCTTGCCTGTTGCCATTGTGATGACTGATCAAATACTGTAAACCCAAATCAATGTGACAGGCTAGCCTTAACGTGACGGTGAAAGACGTGATCACCTGCCGCCGCCTGGTGGGTCTTAAAAGCAGGGTCTCGGAGAATCGCGTGCACGGGTGCGTTTTGTGGCGGCTTTGTGAAGGTTTTACACTCCTTCAGGGTGCCTGACGCATGCCTAAACCCTAAACCCTAAAGCCTAAACCCTAAACCGATAAGCGCAGGTTGGGGACCTCGAAGCTGTTCCGGAACCTCGCGGGATGCTGTCTTGCGAACATCTCAGAACAAAAGGCACTGGACTCCAGACCCTGAGCCCTGCATGGAAGGAAGAATGCGTCAACGAAAACCTAAACCCTAAAGTCTCAAGAGAGAGAGAGAGAGATAAGAGAGAGATTCTAGGGTAGCAAGCAAGCAAGGCCGAGAATCTACACCCTACACATCCCTAAACCCTGCAGCCCTGCACCCGAGATCCTAGACATTTGAGCCTTGACAAACTCAGGAGAGGCGGAGAAAGCCTACTACGGTGCGGAGCTTAGAGTTACCATATGGGCTACTAGAAGGTTTCCCTATCAACTAGGGCGTGCCTGATATGCGCTACTTAAGTGACCATAAGGATTGCTATGAGGCTGATGAAGGCGCTACTCTTCAGGTTACCATAAGCTGGTTCCTGGCTTAGGAGCGAGTTTGAAGATCGATGCTTACGCGGGGTACGTAATGCCACTTAGGGCCTTGCGCAAGGCTTGGGGTTTTCGGGCTTTTGGGGCTTTCGGCAGTTTTTCGGTCGTTCGAAGTTCTAGGGAAGGAAGGGAGGTTCACGGTGATTGTTTGGATCCTGGAGGCTTGAGGGCTCCTGAGCCCTTATCCCTATGAAACCTCTCCTCGTGATAGCAACACGCGACTTCCATCCCCTTGCGCCGAGATGCCTATCAGTCCTGCAAGTCTGAGGAGGCCAGGAAGCTTGTCATAATTGTAGTTATGGTAAACACAGTTGCAGTCATAATAGTAGCAATCACGGTAGCAGCAGTAGTAGAAATACTAACCATAGTAAAAAATGACTACAGGAGTAAAAGTATTGGTAATTGTAATTAAAGAGTAATAAGAATAGTAAAAACAAGAAATGAAAGCAGTCGTAGTAGCAATGATGGTAGTTGTAATTGTTATTGTGGTGGTAGCAAGAATTGCTTTGCTGCTGCTACTACTACTGCGACGACGACGACTGCTACTACTTCTGGTACTACGACTACTACGATTGCTACGACGACGACGACGACGACGACGACGACTACTACTACTACTACTACTACTACTACGACTACTACTACTACTACGACGACTACTACGACTTCTAGGACCACTACAACTACCACGACTACTACGATTACGACCATTGCTACGACCACTACTACGACAACTACGACGACTACTACTGCTGCTACTACTACTACTACTACTACTACAACTACTATACTACTACACTACTATACTACAACAACAACTACAACTACTACCACTACTGCTACTATACTACTACTACTACTACTACTACTACTACTACTCCTACTACTACTACTACTACTACTACTACTACCACCACTACCACCATTGCTTACCTACACTTCTGCAGCACAATAACAATAATCATGTAATAAGACTCATCATGGTAGTAATAATGAACCTTAAAAAACAAATCCCCACGCGCAAGCCACCCAGCCCGCACTTCTCAACGGGGACCCATGTGCCACACCCTGAACTGTTGGCGAGTTTGTCGACTGCCGAGTTCCAAGCTCAAATTCCCGAGCACTCACCCTGATTGGAATTTACGGGAATTTGTGACAGGGTTTGAGCCCTAAACCCTAAACCCTAAACCCTAAACCCGGTGTCGGGAAAAGGGTCCAGGGTGTAAGTCGAGAAGTTGCCTTCTTGCGAGTTACGAAGTTTCTGTGGGTTGGGCACAGTGCGATCTCACGCCGGAATCCCCTTAGCCTTAGCTCCCTGAGCCTCCAAAACCGCCCCGGACCTTGAGCCTGAGCCAACCTCGAAGCCTCTCTGGGCCTCTGATCCCGCCATCATCCGTGCCAGTTTCGCTGCTCCAACACCACCGAATGCTGCGCTGAGATCATCCAGCCAAGCCCATACTGCCTTAGCCCGCCAGTGGGTCCATCGTCAGGGGCTCAGTGGATCTCAGGGTCACCTCGGCGCGTCAAGTTGCTTTGAGCTAGGAGAGATGGATGCAGCCGCAGTTCTCTCGCTGACTTGCAGAGTTTAGGAATTTGGGGGTTTCCGAAAATAGGGGACCCTGATATAGTACCCTAAATAGTAGGATTTATATTATACGGACCCCAAAATAGGGTACCCCTTAATTTTCTGAAACTCACATTTAGTTGCTAGCAGCTGAGTTCTGCGACTGCAGGCCTTTGTCTTTGCAGACCACTTGTGACAGCACGCGGGGAACCAAGATCTTGCCCGTATTGATCTAAGCAGAGTCGTCCGAGCAAGAGGTCTGCAAGATACCTGACACATCTGACGCACAAGCCCTGGCAGCCGTCTTTCAGAAAGTGTTACAGCTGAGCCAACGTTGACCCAGTCTTGGAGAAGCCAGGCGCTTCTTGTCCAGGCAAAAACTTGGGGTGGCTGACTCCCAAAGCTTATTGCAAAGCCCAAAATACCGTTCTGCCCTGAATCCCAAGCTCCTTATCAGACAAAATGCATCTGGAGCTAGTGAGCCCTTGCAAGGCAGTTCCTTCACAAGCCTCGCATAAGCCGTAAACTCGAAATCGTACCCAAACCCTAAACCCTCCTTATACTTGTAATCCTTAAGCCCTAAACCTTAAACCCTAAACCCTAAACCCTAAACCCTAAACCGTTCCACGACTACGAGATGCTCTACACTCGGTGGGACAGAGGTGAGATTACGCTCTCGGAGATCCGACGTGTCTATGGAGATGACACGGTTGAGCTGTTGCAAGGGCAGAAGGCGCTGGCTGTGGAGTTGGATGCAGTGCCATTGGCTCCTGAGACTGGCTCGCCGATTGTGGGATCGGTGTTGCAGTCGCCGGGGGCACATGAGCTTGTTCCGGGCCTTGGAGCGGTTGGCCAACCTCGCTTGCGCTTCGGATTCTTTGAGAGCATCTATGGCCAGTGGCGTGACCAGTACAAAACGGACATGGAGATTGAAGCGGCCTATGGGTCGATGTGGCTCCGATTGTTCAGACAGTGGAGGCTGTGGGGGTTGAATGGAGTTTGGCCCTACTTGCCGTTGGTTCTGGACATGGACCCCGATCCGTGTCCTGCCTCTGCTCGACCACTCATAACCAAGGAGGACTTGCAGGATCGCTTTCTACGTGTGCCTCTTGGGGCGATGTGGGAGCTCTACAAGAAGTGGGTTAACAAGGGCATCACTGATGATGTTCTCCAACAAGACTATGGTCTGGATTGGCTGCTTGCCTTTCGGAAGATTTATGCTGAAGGGATTGAAGCTGCCAGACCCATGTTGGAGCATATGGTTGACTGGACTGCTTCGGATGATGCTTCTGGTCTGGTGTCGAATCATCCAACTTTATGGGGGCCCATGAGTGGAGAAGCAGGATCGCAGTTGGGTATGCAGTGCACAGTGTTGGAGAATGATGAGGGGACGATAGCTTCAGAGCCGAGGGATGTGCAACCAAATCCATGAGTTCATGCGACGTCTACAGGAACACGACCAATTGAGATGGCTGAGGGTTTGTAGTAAACTTGCCTTCCACAAATGTGGATTCTGAATAGTGGATGCTCTGCTAGACGGAAAAAGGCGTTCAAAAAAAAAAAAACCCTAAACCCCAAACCCTAAACCCTAGTTCTTGAACCCCGAGCCTCAACTCTTACAAGGCTTATTTCCTAGACATCCTCAAAAAGTTAAAATAAACCCTTAAGCTCCCTAAACCCAAAACCCTAAACCTTAAGCACCCTAAACTCTAAACCCGAAAAATCCTTAAGCTCTCTAACAAAGTTAAAAAAACAGCCCTGGGCGGACGGAAACAGACCTTGAACAGCCACAAAGCCCGAGCCCCGAGTCCCCAAACCCCTAGCCTATGACCCTGAACACGCCAGTATATTTTACCGCTGCGAGTAACTAGAGGGTGTTGTATTCACATTTTTATGTATGTCTGTCTGTCTGTCTGTCTGTCTGTCTGTCTGTCTGTCTGTATGTACGTACGTACGTACGTACGTACGTACGTACGTATGTGTGTGTATATGTATGTGTATATGTATGTGTATGTAGGTGTATGTATGTGTATGTACGCGTATGTATACATGCATGTCATTCGGTATAGGTCTACACACGCATATATATGTATATATATATATATATATATGTATATATATATATACATATGTAGACATACATGTATGCATATACACACATGATATTAAGCCCCAAACCATCAGAGTCCGCTCCGCGTAAGCTTCGCGGGAGGAGCTGATATTTCTTATTGCTTCTTGTAAGAATTTGGACCACGACAACAGTAGACCCCAAAGAAACCTTGTTGCGAACTGTAAACGGAGCCTTATCGAAACTTGAGGAGATCGCGTAGAAAAATTATGAAACTTTACAGGCACCCATAGAAACTCCCCGGAACCCCAAACCCTGAACCCTAGACCCCGAAGCCCCAGGCTTCCCAAACCGTAAAGCCTAAAGCCTAAACACTAAACCCTAGACCCTGAACACTAAACACTACTTCCTAGACCCTAAACCCTGGACCCTAAACTCCCCAGACACTGCATCCTAAAACGTTAAGACTCAGCCTTCGCCCCGAGGTCCAAGTGCCGGGAGCGGGATCTCCGAAACAGGCTAGGCTTCTTCGAGGCCAAGCTGAAGGAGCCGCGTCCTCGGAAGGGAGCGACGCAACTCTGTTAGGGCTTAGGGTTTGGGGGTGGAGGGCTGGACGGCGTTTGTTTGTTGTGTGGTATAGTAGAGTGGGTTTGTACGGTTTTATTTTGAGAGCTTTTTATTGTGGCAAAGGGGTGGGCTTGAGACAGTTTGATGCCCGACTGTGTGTCAGAGGACATGTCCATTTCAGTTCTGCCTCCTCAGTCATGTGCTTGCACGTCGGTTGTTTCTTCCAGGAGCTCCTTTGGCCCAGTTTGTCTTTAGGACACCCGAGCTACGCTAGTGCCACCAGGACTTCATAGAAGTCTTCTGTGTGAAGCCATAGGCTCCTGGACCAGGTTTTACGAACCACGGAAAGTCAGAGACTTCAGCAGCTGTCGAGAAAACGATTGACCTCTTTGCTGCAACAGTTTTCACTTCTTCTGCGAAGCTTCAGCGATAACAGTTCTGACTACCTTTGGGAAAGAGGAGAGCCCCCGCTGCTACCGATACTGGTAGCGGAGCTCGTTGCAGAGCTCAGGACGGACACTGGAGTCTTCACAGGAAAAGAAAGTGTGGGTCTCCTACGCTCTCAGGAGGCAGAGTGGCTTGAGTGTTTCGAGAAGCAATGGAGAAGGACTTCGAGGTTTCCCTAGCCAGATGTGGCTGGGATAGGGAGGCTTCCGGATGGAATGATTTCGTGAGAAGGGTTCGTCTCCTTTTTGAGAAGACCTCCCGCCGCAAGCGACGTCAACTTGGACCATCCATAGTGTCCCAGCTTCGCGATAGAGCGTGGACCATAACGCAGGATGTGGACCACCACAAACTCACTCGCAGAGATGGCTGCGTATACCTTCTAGAGTTCTTGAGAGACAAGCTGGGTAGGAGTCCGATTCCAGATATTGGGGTCAGGCTAGAAGAGCTCATGATCAAGCTCAGGCGTCAGCCCGGCACTTCAATCACTACATGGTCCACTCAGGTGAGGCAAACTTACAAGCGCGTCCAGGTCGCTCTGCACCGCGCGCGGAAGGATCAGACGTCAGCTTCCCGAGATACCTCTCCGACCAAGACTGAGATCCTCTGCGCCCTCCTTCAGGACCTTCGTCGCCATCGAGCTCTTCCAAGAAGGAGCGCAGCACGCCTACCCGCAGGACCAGCGATGCTACTCAGGAGGAGCCGCATGCGGAAGCTCCGGCAGAGGATGGCCACCCGGACTACGAGGATGACGAGGACTTCGACGCCGGGGTGACGGGCAAAGCAGGATGGCGACGACGAGCGAAGAAGAAGGACGACGATGAAGACGAGAGCGACGACAGCGCTGCAGCTTTGGCGGACCTAGAGATCTGGGATCGTTATGAAGAAGGGCTTCAGGAAGTTCTCCCTCCAGAGGTTCTTGGTTGGCTTCTGCTTCGGAGGGCGAATCTCCCGACTAGCGCCAGGCTTTCGATTCAAGCTGCAGCTGGGAATTCGATTTTGTTTTCAGACATTGAGCGTGCGATGAGGGCCATGGAGGACGAGCTCATGGTCCACGACGAGGCCCGGAGACAGCAGAACCCTAGGAGAAGGTCTTTCTGGGTTGAGGATGAAGGCGAGTGGAGCCTTCTCTTGGCTCCCGAGGCTGAGCTTCAGGACTTGCTTTCCAATTCCGAGGTTCACTACGTCGGCACCCGTCTTCCACAGGACGTCTACTACCAGGAACCCGAAGCTCCCCAGGGTCCTCTCGAGGCTGGCTTCTGGCATCAGGACGAGGATGGTGCCTACTCGTTTTGGGAGCTCGCCGAGGATGGAGAGTACTACTCTCAGGACCCCTCCGGTCTGTTTTGGGCATGGCATGATTGGGATGATTGTGGCCTCTTCAGCTGACACCCCTAAGGAACCCAGCGATGCCTATGCCCTGAGTGATCCCCAGTCCCGGAACTTTACACAAGCCCGCCAGGCGGTTCGTGTTACTAACATGAGTCGTGGCTTCTACCCTTTCAATCCCTCCGGAAAGGGGAAATCCAAGTGCCCGAAGCGCAGTGCTTCGGGAAAAGGATCCGGGAAGAGCAAGGGCGGCCGCAACTTCATGGTTGAGAGTGTCTACGCGGTCCAGTTGGATGATGAAGAAACCCCGAAGGTCACCAACGATCCTTCGAATGATGAGGTTGCCACGCTTTCCGAGGACAACATGATCTCCCTTCCTCTTCGAGGCAACGATGTTCAGAGGACCCGGGACAGTGCAGTTCTTGATTCTCGGTGGAACCAAATACCCAAACTCGATTCCGAGGACGCTTCATGCCCTGCCCCGTTCGGGATAGAGCCTTTTTCTTCAGCTTTGGTGGTTACCTCACAGGCCATTGGGAATGCTTTCGCAACCGGGAGCGGGGAAGCTCAACCTCGAGGGAGCGCAGTTATTGATTCAGGTGCTACAGAGACGGTCGGTTCGCTTCCGGCCATCGAGGACTTGATGCAAGCGGCATCCCCGACTCTTTCAAGATCTCAAACACCCCTCCCAGGAGATTTCGCTATGGCAACGGCTCAGTCGGGTTCTCACTTTCTCACGTTCTGATTCCCCAAGACTTGGGCGACAGTCGAGTGGATTTGGGGGTGTACTCGCTCGACGTTGAGCAAGTGCCAATTTTAATTGGCATACGCACACTCAGGGCCCTCAAGACAGTTTTGGACTGCCATCAGGACACGGCAGTGTTTGCAGCTTTAGATGCCACCATCGGAGTGAGGCTGAAGCGAAGTGCATCAGGTCATCTACTGCTGGATTTAAGTTGCAACTGGCTTCAGGATTCTTTCTCCCTCTTGAGCCCGGCTGCCGATGTGATGTGTGCGTCCTCAGTACCCCTTGAGATCGAGGAAAAGGAGGGCACCGTGTTTGCTCTTGCATCTGATAGTCCAGAGTTTCGTCCAGAGTCCGAGCGTGCACTCACTTCAGCACCTAACACATCGACTTCATTGCCTGCAGTGCTTTTCCATTCCAGAGGGGACGTGGCAACATCCTCCGATACTAGCACCGAGATCTGGCTAGGAGCCCCTCGTGACCAGTTCTGGATTGTTCGTGCTCTGCTTGCTGCACATGGCCGTCCCCACTCCCGTGAACAAGGACCTGTCGGCCGAGGACTTCAAGGAACAGGCAATTGCCCGAGCCAAGGCAGCATCGGTGACCGTACGTCACACTCCAAAGAGCAAGAGCAAGAGCAAGGCGCAGCCGAAGGAACCGGCGCCGGAACTGGACTGGTCACGGGCCGAAGAAGGGGATCTTCGAGATGTTCGGATGCGAGGACCGCCTTGCCACGGAGACCACTGCTTGGTGACGAGATCGAATCAACACAACACGCCCTTTGGCAGTTTTGCGAGCGGTGCGGAGTGAGGGTCATGTACGTTCCCCGCCACGGCAAAACAGGACTTCATCGAGCGGCTGGCCCTCTGAAACAGGATGTCAAGACCGTGCTCACCGAGACAGAGATCAAGGAGGAGCTGGCCTACAATCCTCGCCTCAAGGATGCTGCAATCGGCCTTCAAGCGGCCGAAACGTCAGCTTTGAAGCAGTTGGAGAAGATTCGAGCTCGCAAAGAGCAGGTCCTGAGCCAGAACCCCTCGTCGTTGAATTCGAAGAGCGTCTCCTCCGAGAAAGACATGCCTTCGACTGCGACGGGAGTGATGCCCAATGGGAGGCCCCGCGAGGTGGTGAATGTGGACGAGCTGCAGGACCCTCCTGCCGATCCGGAGCATCTCTCGACCCTCCCGGGGAACAAGAGGCATCAAGCTCTGGCAGCCGAGAGCCTGGAGTACAGCCAGAGGACTGGGAATCCCCAGTTATGAGCCTGGACTCTCCAGGTCTTCGCGAGCTCGAAGAGCAAGCTCGGCATATGACCAATAATCGAGCGTTTTCTTTCATTGAATGTGAGCGGTTGCTTCAACAGTTGGCGACTGTGAGAGCGGCTGCACATCAAAGCCAACGACAGATCTTGGACGGAAAAGCCGGGAGTAGCTATGCCACCTTTGGTTTGTTCTCTCGCGGCAACATGCATGGCTTGACTCGCAAGTCTCGTGAACTTCCCTGTGTATGTCGATATCTCAACTCGTTCGGAAAGCATCACCTGCCAAGTTCCGATGCAAAGTGGACAAGCTTTACAGTGAGTGTGAACCAAGCAGCCAAGATACACATTGATGGACATAACGATCCAAATTCCTCAAACTTTACATGTTCGTTTGGTGCCTTTGATGGAGGGAAGCTTTGGGTAGAGTTGACAGAAGGATGTGATCGTCTTGGCAGCCCTGTGCTATGGAAGACGAAGCATAACGGCCTACGTGTGCCAGGACACCTTCATGATACATGGCATCGCTTCGTGCAGTTCTATCCCAAGAATTTTCATGCCACAGATCGTTGGACAGGAAACCGGATATCGTTGACTTTCTACACCTCCCGGTTGATTCCTCAGGCAACTGCATCGTGTCGGTCAAGTTTGAGTCAGTTGGGATTCCCTCTTCCCAGGTGTCATGGATCCTCCGATGACCGCAAGGCCCAGGACTTCATTTGCACCGAAGAGGATGATGACTCAGAGGGACGCGTTCTTCTGACACAGGACATTTGCGACGTGGTGCAAAGCTCCTGTGAAGAGGTCTGGGATGAGGTCAACATGCTTCTTGATTCCCATGGTAGAGACCCTCATTGTGTTCAGGTTGTTGAGTTCGGTGGCCCTAGTGACAGCCGCTTGTGCCACTTTCTACATCAACAAGGAGGCCGTGGGTATGCAGCGAATCTTCAGTCAGGATATGATCTTGGAACTCGAGGTGGGTGCCATCGAGCGCTACAACAACTACAGTCCCTCATGCCTGAGATTGCATGGCTACAGCTCCCTCGCGGACCGTCCGGGCCCGATCGAGCGCACAATAAAGTCAAGGATCATTCAGCCTATCATCGGTTTCGAAAGGTACTTCGAAATGCCTTGAGTTTGACTTTGGCACAACTTCGCCACGGGCACTGTGTGTGGGTCTCAGACAAGCATTCATGCGCTTGGAGAGATTTGGAAACATGCCAATTCTGGAAGCAACTTGCCGACGAGGGCAAGGCCTTCGAATGGCAATGCGGAGATCTACAGGTCCGCACCACTTCTAAGACCCTGTACATGAATTGCTCTCGTGTGAGCTCATCGGATGAGTCCCGAGAAAGTCACCTAGAACACCTTTACCGTGCCCTACGCGGTTCTTTGATGAGCCTGCATGGCTCGAACACAGGTGGGGAAACTTCCTATGCGGTGACCTCTCATCGCGATGCTCTACGAGGTGTGGGTAAGGCCGAGTTGGAGAGTCTATTAGACACGGTTCAGAAGCTTCATCGAAGGTTTGGACATCCCACAAACAGTCTGTTGGTCAAGAACCTGCGCGCCAGAGGTGCCTCTCCTAAACTCTTGGCAGTTGCTGCGGAGTTCAAATGTGACACTTGTCTTGAGAGCCAGATTCGAACTTCAGCTCCAGCGGCCTCTCTCGAGCGAGAGGATCGACTTTGGTGTACTCTCCAGATCGATGGGTTCCATATGAGATTCGGTGATCAGGTCTTTCACTTTCTACTTCTTGTGGATGAAGCCTCCGGCTTCTGCATTGTCGAGGAGACGAATCGGCATCATGAGAAGGAGATGAAACATGTTACGACTGCGCAGGTCGTCAGAATCATCGAGACTCGGTGGTGCCAGCTCTTCGGCTTTCCTGAGCGTATCAAGTTGGATCCTGAGGGTGCCTTCCGTGGTTTGGATCATTCCGGCGGAGTACCACGAAGCGATCTCCGAGGTCGAAAGGACCGTTGGCACCATCAGGAGAAAGATCGAAACGTTCATCAGGACCGAGCAGTACCCCCCAGCACGAGCTGCCGCTCAGATGGCTGCAGCTCACAACACCCTGGCTCGAAGCTCAGGCTTCAGTCCAGCACAATGGGCCTTTGGACGAGACGCTTCAGTCACAGGTCACAGCCGAGAGCGACCAGGAGAGCTTTGTGCACAGAGTGCGATGGCCGACCCCTCGCATGGTATGCATGAGGCTTTGGAGTTGCGCACCAAAGCAGAACAAGCTTTCCTTGAGTACCGTGCTAAGGATCTGGTTTCAAGAGCTCAAAATGCAAAGACGAGGCCTTCCAAGAGATTTCTGCCAGGTGATTTGATTTTCTATCAACGTTACCAGACTCCCCAGGATGCGCCGGCCAATGTGGTCGTGGATCGTCCTCGGATGAACATTGCTCGTTTCTACGGCCCGGGGAGAGTCCTTGCCTCTGAGACCAAGGTAGATCTGGTGGATGGAGTTAGGAAAGCCAGTGCCATCGTTTGGGCAGTGTGCAACGGTAGGCTGAAGAAGTTTCATCAAAGTCAGGTCCGACATGCGACTGAGACCGAGCGCCTTGTGGCAGAACGAGCGAAAGGAGCAGAGTTTCCGTGGACTTGCGCTTCGTTAGCTGATTTGTTGGAACGTGGATCATTTGATGACGAGACGATTAAGCGGCGCAGGATGCGGGGAAGATCAAGGACTCCGGCAAGGTCGAGGTCTTTACCCCCGACTTCGCGGAGACGTACAGAGCTTCTCGAGCCCCCAGTGCCACCTGAACGGCCTCTTCCTGAGTTACCTGCAAGTCCAGACGAGGAAACTGAACTTCTCCCTGTACCCCCCGAATCAGGTGTGAAACGTGATGAGCCTGAGCCGGTGGAAGACGAGGAGATGGAGTTGATTCCTGTTCCGAGCTCAGGGTTGGCAGAACATTCAGGCATCAACATGGCTCGTTTCATGAACGATCCTCAGTACTTCCCGTCAAACTTTGTGACTCTCGACAAGGAGGGTGAAGCTCTTGTCTTTCAAGCCGAGACCACCACTGACCAGGCGAGTGAGGTCGAAGCCCCAGTGCTCGCTGTGACGTTGGATGCGCCCTCCAACGAGGCAGAGTGGAAAGCCATCGTAAAGAACCCCAAGAAGTTCATTGCCAAGAGCGTCCAGAAAGGTGTGGAGGTGAGTTATGCCAAGCTAAATCCCACTCAGCGAGCTGCCATGGATGATGCCATGAAGGTTGAAGTGGACAACTGGCTGAAGACCCAGGCGGTTAAGGCTGCCCAGAAGTTTGTCCCTCAACGTGAGCTTTTAAAGATGAGATGGGTACTTACCTTCAAGAGCGCCTCCGAGGATTCTGCAGACGCTTCTCCTGGAGACGACAAAATCATGGAGACCAAGAACTCCAAGGCCGAGCGTGTCAAAGTAAAGGCCAGGATTGTGATCCTCGGCTATAGCGACCCTAACCTTTTAGATGCGACCACGGTGAGCCCAGCCATGTCCAGGTTGTCCCGTCAATTGCTGCTCAACATGGCATCCGCTAGAAGGTGGGACATCGTCTGTGGAGATGTCAAATCGGCGTTCCTACAAGCTCGATCTCCTCAGGCTGATCGATGCATCTTCGCCTCCCCCGTGTCTGAACTCAGTGCCGCGCTACAGCTCAAAGAAGGACAGGCTGTGCAGTTGCTTCGTTCGGTGTATGGGCTCGCGTCGGCCCCTCGCGAGTGGTGTGAGGACGTACATCAAACACTTCCTAGCCGAGAGACTTACTACCGACAGCTGCGTGTGGCGCATTCGAGATCCAGCCACAAATCAAGTCGTGGGCTTGATTTCTAGCCATGTGGATGATTTCTTGATGGCGGGCGAGGGCTCCTCAAGGGCTTGGCGAGATTTCCTGCATGCTTTTGGCAAGGCCTACGAGTGGTCGCCGTGGCAGCATGGGCACTTCAAGCACTGTGGGGTCACCTTGACCCAACACCAGGACCATTCTATCACTCTCGATCATAGTGCCTTTTGTCAGGAGTTGAAGCAGATGGCGCCTGTGAAAGAAGTCAGGAAACTTACCGACGAAGAGGCCAGTCAGATTCGGGCGATATTGGGAAGCGTGCAGTGGCTCGTTTACCAGACAGCACCTCATCATGCTGCGAAGCTCAACTACCTTCAGAGCTTGATCGCCTCGAAGGACTCTTCCATCGTTGAGCAAGTCAACAAGTTGGTAAGAGAAGTCTATGCATCTCGTAGCCTCTCAGTGCAGGTGCAAGCTTTAGGTGCAGAAGATCCTGAGCAGTTGTGCATGATTGCTTGGTCTGATGCCAGTTTGGCCAACAGGCCAGATTTATCGAGCACAGGAGGACACCTCATAGCGATGATGCATCAAGAATCTCTGGAGGCTGGTGTGGGGAGAATAAACCCCATAGCATGGCGAAGTGGCAAACTCCATAGAATTGCGAGATCTTCTCTTTCCGCTGAATCTCAGGCGCTCGCTGATACCGAACAAGAACTCTTTTACGCTCGCCTCGATTGGCGTGAAATGATGGGCGACTATGTGGACGCCAAGACGCCAGAGAACACGGCGGCGAAAGTCCCATCCTACTTGGTTGTCGACGCCAAAGCAATGTTCGATACGTTGTCCAAGGGTGTCTTCGTAGCAAGCCAAAAGGACAAGTATACCGGATTGGAGTTTTTGGCGTTGAGCCAACACTTGGAAGCCCAGAGGACTAATCTCTTGTGGTGTGACAGTGACCACATGCTAGCTGACGGCTTGACTAAGGCGAGCAAACAAGATGTCCTCAAGCGCTTTCTTTCGCATGGAACTTGGAGAATCCGTTACGACGGGGCCTTCATTTCAGCCAAGCGGAGAAGAATGATGCGAAACTCCAAGGAAGACTCAAGCCCTGCTTTTCTCCTCCACGAGTGTCCGGCGTTGTACAGCTCAAGCACATGAATGCTTCGGCACCTTTCCCTGGGGCATGTCAGAGGACATGTCCATGTCAGTTATGCCTCCCCAGTCATGTGCTTGCACGTCGGTTGTTTCTTCCAGGAGCTCCTTTGGCCCAGTTTGTCTTTAGGACACCCGAGCTACGCTAGTGCCACCAGGACTTCATAGAAGTCTTCTGTGTGAAGCCATAGGCTCCTGGACCAGGTTTTACGAACCACGGAAAGTCAGAGACTTCAGCAGCTGTCGAGAAAACGATTGACCTCTTTGCTGCAACAGTTTTCACTTCTTCTGCGAAGCTTCAGCGATAACAGTTCTGATTACCTTTGGGAAAGAGGAGAGCCCCCGCTGCTACCGATACTGTGTGGGTCGAATTCCAAAGGGCAAGCGGCGTTTCACCAGGAAGCGGAGGTCGACCAAATATCAGGACAATCAGGGTTTGAGGGTTTATTTAGGGTTTCGGGTTTAAGGATTTAGGGTTTATGGTTTGGGGATTTGGGGATTAGGGTTAGGGTTTAGGGTTTAGGGTTTGGAGGGTACCTAACCCATAAACTCTGAAGCCTCACTCGCCAGGCGAGTGTGTGGACTCCAGCATTAAAAAACTAGGGCCGTTGAAGACCCGAGGTACAACGATGCCTATGCCCTCTGCGAGAGCTCCCGAGCAGGTCGGGGCCTGTGCACATTTTCTTGCCTTTTTTGGGGCCGTGAAGACCCTGCGCTTGCTTAAGAACCCTAAACCCTAAACCCTAAACCCTAAACCCCAAAAAGCGTACGCCCCTATCGAAACCTATTTGGGGGCGGGCCCTGCAGGTCGGACAATACACTTTTTGTGAAGTTCGCAGAACCCAATTGAAGAGCCCTATGGGAAGCCACCCAGCCCCAAGCACCCAAACGGCATGAGAGTGAATGCTCCAAAAGCCCTGAAGCGGCTGGGAAGTGAGTTGAAGATGTGGGATCCTCAACGAAGGGCTCCCAAAACAAGGGTTCATACAGAAAGAACTCTGCTATTCAGGCCCATTGCAATTTTGCCGTTTTCCGCACGAAGGGCTTCCCAAAACAAGGGTCCGTACAGAAAGAACTCTGCTATCCAGGCCCATTGAAATTTTGCCGTTTTTCCGGTGGAGACTCCCGCGCCACATCCCAGAGACGAAGCTCCTAAGCCCTATGCCCTAACCCCTAAATCCAAGGCTGCAACGACACCTACGCTTGCCCTGACAAGCGCGGCAAGTGGCAGGATTCTGCCGCGAGGGTCTGCGATTTTTGCCCCTGACCCAACCCTTGCGGGCCCGAAAACCCTTGGCTCAAACATGAAGCCCTAAACACCCCCTAAACCCCAAGCCCAAAGAAAGCTTTAAACCCTGAGCCACATCTCTGTACGTGGAAACTCTATGCACCCAACCTTAAACCCCACACTGTTCGCCCGAAGCCTTTAGACCTCAACCACTCGGCGACAAGCACCAGCACTCACTAGCTTCATTGCTATGGTCGCCATTGTCGCTGGTGTAGTCATGAGTGTTGTCGTGGATATGGTCATGTCGATGATTGTGCTTGTTATTCAATCTACGAAAGTACAGTGTAGTATAGCATAGTACAGCATAGTATACTCGACTAGACCATAACCTGGACTATATCTTATTATATGTTACTTTAATGTACCGTACTAAACTAAACTAAACTAAACTAAACTAAACTAAACTAAACTAAACTAAACTAAACTAAACTAAACTAAACTAAATTAAACTAAACTAAACTAAACTAAACTAAACTAAACTAAACTAAACTAAACTAAACTAAACTAAACTAAACTAAACTAAACTAAACTAAACTAAACCAAACCAAACCAAACCAAACCAAACCAAACCAAACCAAACCAAACCAAACCAAACCAAACCAAACCAAACTAAACTAAACTAAACTAAACTAAACTAAACTAAACTAAACTAAACTAAACTAAACTAAACTAAACTAAACTAAACTAAACTAAACTAAACTAAACTGAGATATCATTTTATAGTCCAGAACCTACTACAATATACTATAATCTGCTGCAACCTGCTATAACCCACTATGATTGCTATGATATGCAGTAATTGCTCGCACGTGGTTTTGCTGGACAGTGCTCACCATCTCGGAAGGGCAGCTCAGACGGGGACGCCTAAACCCAAAACCCAAAACCCAAAACCCTAAACCCTAAACCCTAAATCCTAAACCCTAAAACCTAAGCCCTAAACCCTAAACCCTAAAACCTAAACCCTAAACCGTGATAGTTGGGAGAGCATCCGAGCCGAGCTGCCCCAGGGAGAGTTTGGCTTTGATGGGGTCTGTCGTCTTCTTACCAGGGCACCCATCTCGCTAGGACCTAAACCCTAAGTGGACAGCCCGGTAGTCTTCAGTCTTTAACCCTACACTCTTTATCCGAATGTTGCCACCTCCCCTAAACCCTAAACCCGGAACCCTGAACCCTACACCTTGCACCTTATCCGAATGTTGCTGGAGGAGAAGCACGCGATCTGCAACATGAACCAGACGGTCTTTGAGCAGGCGGGTCTGTTGAGTTCGGCTGTCGTGGACGCCAGGTCGTTAAGTGCCTTCATCTTAGGATCCCTATTGAGGTCGGTTTAGGGTGTAGGGTTTAGGGTTGAGGGTATTGAGGTCTTGATCTATTTGCGGAGGCGGCGTATGAATCGGCGGTCTACATGATGGCTGGTTGTGTTCAGAGCTGTTGCTTCTCTGACTTTGGGTTGTTGCATCGGCTTTGCAACCGTAGATTGCTTGCGACCAGGAAGATACTCCGGCTTCAAGCAGAAAGGCGTTTCGAAAAACTGCCTCACCCTGCAACCCCCAGAAGCCGGTAACCCGCAAGGCGTCCGACCAGAAAAATATTTCGGTCGCGGGCGGAAAGGCGTTTCGAAACGCTGCCTCGCCCCGGAACCCCCCAGAAGCCCGTAGCCCGACAAGGACAGATCCCGAACCTTGTAGTGCTAAGTCTCCTCAACCCGTGGAAGAGTGATGACTTTAGCCTGCAAGGATAAAGACCTCAAGGCTCCAAGCCCTCCACCAAGCAAATCTTTAGACAATGTGCAACTCCGACTCCGCCAAGCTCTACAACCTACGCCTCAATAATTCCAATCCCAAAACCCTGAACCCTGCTCTTCCAGCTTCGGATTTTTCTCTGCAGATTCTTCTTGGGGCTCGATCTCTTAACCCCGAAAGCCAATCCCGAATCCTCAGCCCAAGACTTCAAGCTGTTAAAGCTCAATGCTGTGAGGCCTACTGCAGCCTGGCAACCGGTGTGGAGGCAGGTCGCTGGCGGGCACCTCATCGACCTCGTCAGCTCTGCCGTCGTCTTTGTTTTCGTCCCAGTCGCTGCAGCCGCAGCCGCAGCAGCAGCAGCAGCAGCAGCAGCAGCAGCAGCAGCAGCAGCAGCAGCAGCAGCAGCAGCAGCAGCAGCAGCAGCAGCAGCAACAGTGAGAATACCAAGAAACTATAGTGGCGTGGCAAGAGGGAGAGTTTAGAAAGAAGTGGTCGCCGAAGCAGCAGGTGCAGGTACTAAGGACTTGCCACATGGAACTGGACAGAACGCAGGTCGCATGCTGATCGGGAGTCTGATGTCCCGAGCACTTGAGACACGAAGCCTTGACTCCCTGACGAGCAGAACCCTGTCCCAGACTGCCCAAACCATAACTTTCCGCAGCCCTGTACAAAGCCTCCCCCCTGTGCAGGCGAGCTGGGAGACCTACTCTATCTGCCTCGGACTTGGTCGTGCGTTTGAAGCAAGTGCTTAGGCAGTCGGTTTAGCCGGTTCCTGAGACGGCACTAAGGCTACACGCATGGCAAGCAGGCGCTTGTGGCCGAGGAGGACAAGCAGGACGCCTTGCTGGCTGGCCGCCGCCAGGCACGGCCCTCAAGCAATCTAGGTGTAGGTCGGAGTGCATCTAGGCCTGTACGCATGTATGTACGGATGTGATTCCAGACTAGGCGGAACAGTCTCGGTTGTCATCTCTAAAAGGACCAGCAGCAGCACCAGGGTGGCCTCTAAGCGCAGCCGCAACTGAAAAGAGCAACCCAACTTACGCTGCTTCCAAACTGGGAGACGTGCCTTATGCTGTGCTCGGACATAACCTCATGGAAGCAGCTTCATCGAGACCTCAAACAAAAAGCCCTAAACCCTAAACCCTAAACTCTGAAAGGAGTGGCGTGGCCTCGCCAGGATCGAGTGCCTGCTCAGCAGCCTGGCATTGAAGGGTCAGTCTATGCACCTACAACTCATCTACGTAATGTAGGGCTTCGTGTTTAGGGTTTTAGGTAGATGCTAGAGGGAGACAGAGCGAGGAACACAAACTTGTGGTTTAGGGTTTAGGGTTTAGGGTTTAGGGTTTAGGGCAGGTACACAAACTTGTAGGTGGGTAGTTTTCTAAATTAGGGCCCCTTTTAGGGTCCACACTATAAGGGTGCCGTACTATATTGGGGACCCAAAACGGGACCCTAATTTAGAGAACTACCCAGGTGGATCCGACGTTTTTCGGCGCCAGGGAGTCCAGTTTTCTTTGCCCTCGACCTGGAACCTGCGAACCCGAGTCGCTCAGACCCACGAATTTTCAGATAATCGAAGCGTGCTCATAGTCTAACCTTACACAACCTTTCCTAGTATAGTATGGTATGGCACGGTATGGTATGGTATGGCATCGTATCGTATAGTATAGTACCGTATAGTAGAGTATATATAGTATAGTATCGTTTAGGGTTTTGGGATTCGAGTTTAGGTTTGAGGGTTTAGGGCATCCATGAAGCCTGGCCCGAATCCCGGACATCCTTGATGCAAGGTGCGCTGAAGGCTTCGGCCTCCCGGCTGCACTGACGTACTCCCGGGCTTCGGGGCTTCGAAACCCCAAAACCAGCCCCCAAAACCCAAAACCCTAAGCTCCAAACCCCGAACCCCTAAAGCCCCAAAACCCGAAAATCCTAGACCCTAAACCAAAAACCCTGAACCCCTAAACCCTAAACCCTTAACCCTAAACCCCCCTAAACCCCTAAACCCCTTAAACCCTAGAGGGGTCCATGGCTTAGGGCAGAAGTCTCGGCCTTGAGACAGCCCTAAATCTGAAGATTCCCGTCCTTAGGGTTGAGGGGTTTAGGGTTTAGGGTTGAGGGGTTTGGGGTTTAGGGTTTAGGGTTTAGGCTTTTAGGGTTTAGGGGTTTAGGGGTTTAGGGAGAGCTTCTAGATCTAGTCACTGGTCTAGACTCCAGAGATCAGGCTCATAGGGGCTGAAGAGACGGTTTGTCGTCGTCCTCTCGGACTCCGTCTTCGCCATCATGGCAGAAATTGCTTTTACTGGAATGATCTCATTCCTAGCGGTGCACAGAGTTGATTCTTAGCATGACTACCACTCTTGCTCCGCAGTCGCATGTCTTCACAATCTTGAGTTCTTTTGTTCTATCTGCCGCTGCTTTTGACGACCGAATGAGGGTGCTTCGAGCAATACCGTCTTTCCGCAACCCTGATCCCTAAACCCTAAACCCTAAACCCTAAACCCTAAACCCTAAACCCTAAACCCTGATCCCTAACCCCCAAACCCTCTCCTCAGGACTCGGAGGCGGCCTTGGAAGCCTGCATCAAGGCGGACCACACGGCCAAGGCCAATGCTACCCTCACCCTCACGAGCCTCGGCGGCAGATGGAGCCTTGGGGTTGAGTGGTTTAGGGTTTAGGGTTTAGGGTTTAGGGTTTAGGGTTTAGGGTTTAGGGTTTAGGGTTCAGGGTTCAGGGTTCTGAGTTTCGGGGTTCAGTGGCCATGTTGATGCTGACCTCAAGTTGAGTTCGAACTAAGCAGGACGTGGCTCATTTCGACGGCTTGTTGGTGTTGGAAGATTTACTGGGACATTCGGCGCCATGACACCAAAACTCCACACCTGACCTCCTCTTAGTGGAAGCCGCGCGAAGCTTTTGAAGCCCTGTGAAAACCTTCCCAAGCCCTAGGCTCAAGGGGCCCTGAAAGCCCTTCTTCCCCCTAAACCCTAAATCCTAAACCCTAAACCCTAAATTCTACACCCTGAACCCTAAACCCTGAACCCTAAACCCTAAACCCTAAAACCCCCCAAAATCCCAAGGGCCGGGTGCCTGGAAAGCCGTTCCAGGTTCCCTTCCCGAGTTGGCAACGTCACGACAATGGAGACCTGCAGTGAGAAGCTGGAATCCCCTGGCACCGAGTTCCTTGGCTTGAAGGGTTTAGGGTTTAGGGTTTAGGGTTTAGGGTTTAGGGTTCTTGGCTTGAAGGGGTTTGGAGGCTTGGTCAAGGGGTATTATACAAGTACATAGTGTATGGTGTCTTGTGTTTCATGTTCATCTTTCTGCCATGATTCTGATGATGGTGATACGGTTGATGGACAACATCCTGCATGAGGATTTAGGGTACTATACTATATTTGGGTCATGCAGAATTTTGTTCATCAACAGTGAGGATTCATTTGTTCATTATTGGTTGTTTTCCTCCTCCGGGGTCTGGCGCTTCGTGGGCCATGAGCCACTCTGAACCCTAAGCCCAAAACCCGGCAGGCTTTCACTTTTGCTGTGTGGCGCCTCCACCTTGAAATTGTGAGCTCTGAAGCTTTTAAGATAAGAGGCTTAAGCCCCAACCCCGAAGCCCTACAGGCCCTAAAGCCTAAAGCCCTGAGGTTTAAGGAAGAGAGAGGAGTTCGAGGATGAGCTTGGAGTTTGGAAGCTTTTGGGCTCTCCTAAACCCAAAACCCTAAACCCAAAACCCTAAACCCTAAACCCTGAAACCCTGAAACCCTAAACCCTGAACCCTAAACCCTAAACCCTGAAACCCTAACCCTCCTGAGGATCTCTGGCTTGCAGCTCGGGGCTTCCACGAAACGCCTTCAAGTCTGCACCCCTCAAACCTTCATATAGGGGCCTTACTAATTGGAATGGGGTTCCTTTAAAGGGTTCCTTAAAAAAGTTCACTTAAGGGTTTAGGGTTTAGGGTTTAGGGCCTTACTAACTGGAATGGGGTTCCTTTAAAGGGTTCCTTTAAAAGGTTCCTTTCAGGGCTGCTATAAGGGTTTAGGGTTTAGGGTTTAGGGGGCCTTAATAGTTAGAATAGGGTTCCTTTAAAGGGTTCCTTAAAAGGGATACTATAAGAGTTCGATAATGTAGGGGTCTTAATCTTTAGAAGAGGCTCTTGGGGCCCCTTCTACTAGAAGTCTAATAAGGAACCCCCCCAAGAGAGTATAGGTCATTATTCCCTAAACCCTAAACCCTAAACCCTAAACCCTAAACCCTAAACCCTAAACCCTAAACCCTAAACCTACATTAAACATCTCGAAAACCCTGAACCCGAAAGCCCTTAAGGGTTCCTAACCCTGAGCCCTAAACGGTGGAGTTTAGGATTTAGGGTTTTGGGTTTTGGGTTTGGGGTCTAAAGTTTTGAGTTTAGGGTTTAGGGTTTTGGGTTTGGGGTTTAGGGTTTTGGGTTTGGGGTTTGGGGATTCAGGCTCTTCCGTTTGGGGTTTGGGGATTCAGGCTCTTCCAGAAGACATACTACAAGCTCGTTTACCCGGAGCTGATTCCGACGTCTTTGACCACCTACCATTGCGTGCGGGGCTCGGTTCTGCAGGGGCCGAGATTTGACCTAAACCCTGAGCTGTTGGGGTCGGATCTCTTTTGCCTTTTTCCCTACCCTCCTTCAGAATACATCGTTCCTGGCACGGTATGCTTGGTGCTTCATGTCCGAATTCCGGAAAGAGTGCGAAGCCACAGGCCTAAATTCAAGATCCTGAACCCTAAACCCTAAACCCTAAAAAGCCCTCACAGCCCCCAAATCCGCCCCAAAAGCCCACCCCAAAAGCCCGAAAGCTTTGGGCTGAGAGATCCCTAAGCATTTAGGGTTTAGGGCTTAGGGTTTAGGGTTTAGGGTTGAGGTGTCCGGCGTGGCGACCAGCCACTGCCCCATCGCCTCCAGTCCTGTGTCTCTGCTGGGAAAGGCTACGCAGCCCGGGTTTTTCCTTGTGCAGGTTCCGGGTCGGAGGTTTATTCAGGGTTTAGGGCTTTTAAGGACCCCTGTAAGGGTTCTACACAGTGTTCCTTTAAAGGGTTCTTCTGGGGGTGTAAGGGGGCAGGGGGGGTTGAGCGCTTAGGCTTTTAGGGATCGGATCAAAGATGTGTCGCCCAGTGAGACACAGGCACTCTGCCAGGTATTTCCTGGAGGATTGCTCGAAGCCCAGTTCCTACAATCCAAAGCCCCAGTTTCCTCTTGCCCTAAACCTAAGCGGACCTAAGCCCTCAAAGCATTCCAAACCTAAGCGCCCGGCTCTCTGACTTGGTTCAAGGGCTTTGAAGCCGAATGCCCCACTGACCCGTAACGACCCTGCTTACCTGACTATTACTACCACTACTACTACTACTACTACTACTACTACTATTACTACTACTACTACTACTACTACTACTACTACTACCGCTACTACTACTACTACTACTACTACTACTATCGCTACTACTACTACTACT